CTTGTTACCAGAGGACTGAGATTATAGAATGGAGTGATCTTTATCTTCTTAACATTTGCCTGAATCTGCATGTTAAAAAATATGATCATTTGCAGCATTGTGTTTGGTTGAATAAACTCTGTGTTTGTGCAATCTGCAAATATTGGCTCTCAACATTTGCGGTATTTTGTTTCTCAATCTCATTACCCCCTTTAGAATAATCTTGAATTTAGAAGGTATAATTTTTTGAACATACATCATTTAAATGGAATCTGTTTTCCTGTTAAAAATGGAAACAGACTAAGATTTCAGACCCGTTTGCAATTTGAGAAATGGAAGCTCCCTGCCAGAGCCACTGCAACTTCTGCTGTGCATCTAGCAATATGAGGTAGTCTATAATTCGTACCTCTAAAAATCCTTTAGAAGGGATACCAGCCTCAGAGCTATAATTAATCCATTCTTCTAAAATTACCAACAGAATTCAATCTGCCTGGCTTCATAGAGCCACATGGATCTTTTGTTATAATAGTAATATGAGCAAAGGAGATTATCAGGAGAGAGGTACTGATAAAGGAAAGGTATGAGTGTGTTAGAAACAAACCTGACCCACTTCATGAACTGAATGCTGATCAGCCAGTTCTGACGTCAATGCATATTTTACTGTCCACCAGCAAGACAAACCAGCACTACAGCCTACTTCAAAATAACAGTCTCTCCTACCTGATCTGGTTCAAACACAGTAGCTTTACCATCAAGATGGCATGATTTCTATAAGGCATCTTAACCTGGCAGTTTTGTGGGGCTGGAAGTATACAGAGAGAAGCTCACTATCCCATCCTCAATTCCAAGCTGCATTTAATTTTCACAAATGCACAGATGTTTCACCGTACAGACAGCAAGCAAGTTTTATTTGATGACAGCATAGTGCCTCAGTGATCACTAACTGAAATCCAGTCTCTATGATCCCTTCAAAAAACAGCAAAATGTAAAGGGTACACGAACAACCCAGCTATCTACAGGCAGTAACTTTGAGAAGAACAAAGGTTTACCTTGCTAGTGCTAAAAACAAATTCCGTGTCAAACCTGATGGAGACTGCTTGGTACGGCATTCTTGAACCACAACCTTCTCGGTGGACATTTTAGCTGATTAATACATTCTCTTATGTTACTTATGCTGAAATTGAAGGTTGAGGCTTTTGCTCCCAACTACCTAGTATCTTTTAGAAAATAAGTTTACCAAAGCTCTCGCCTGAAGATCTTTACGTATCCTCTGTTTCTTGACTATAGTTACTAAGACTGAAAGATCCTTTGAATTCTATCTATCCTCTCCTTGTAGAGCAATATTAACACAAAACTATTACATTTCACTCCAGCCTCCTTGTTTAAGCATAAAAGGTGGCAGTCTCATCAGCTTAGTTTTAGGAAGACTTGGTTTTGAATCTTAGTTTATTCTTCTGGTACCTGAGATACAGAGGTAACTTTATGCACGTTTCTGTACTTGACTAAAAAAATGTTGTATTCCTAAACAGTAAAAGCTTCAATAAGTCTTAGAAGCATCAGAATGAATCATGAGGTCTGCTGGAAGTGGAAGTTAGGAAGAGTCTGTAATGGCCATGAGTATCTCTGTGTATTTCATAGCTGCTTGGAGTGATAAGCAAGGTACAGCCCTGCACACAGTGCTGGGGCCCAATGCAAACACTGATCATGCAGAGCTTTCTATCAAAATAATTCACCAGTTACTGTGTTGTTTTTCAATTGCTAGATTAATTCAAATTAGAGGGTAATTCTAGCTATAAGAGTTGGGATCCTGGCTGCCCTTTGTTCTTCCACAGTTTGATAAATGAACCATGAAGAACATGAAACCACTGGAAAAGACTATTCTCAGGGATCTGCACAGCACGAGATAACTCCAAAATCAAAGATAAACCATTCTGTGGAATTCATCGTCTATCTCCTTTACAGAGAAAAATAAAACAACTGACTCAGCACAAATCACCACAAAGTCTCTAGCAGTCATAACTTTCCTCCAGCTACTTTATCACCAAAGCTGGATATGGGAATTGCTAGCAATCTGATAAAGTTTGACAAAGATACATTAAAGAATCAGACCATAATAATCACTGCCAGTAAATGTGATCATTTACATACAGACCACCTGTAATTAACTTTCTGTAATACAGAGGTAGAGCACAAGAGCAGCTAAAAGGAGGAAAGAGAGAGCAGCAGCTGACAGAATCTAGTAACTACCATTTATCAGTGCTTTTATTTGAGTCCCTGGAGAACCTATGCATTGAAACTCCCTGCGACTGAACAGTTCATGTTTCTAAGCTTTCTTCATTTAACGGGACTGCTGAGATGCCTCTGAAGTAGTGTTTTTGTAAGCCTGTGTCATGCTTGCACTGCAGTGTTCAGGGAGGCAGAGAACTTGCATCCCCGCAGTGCTAAGGACATCCACAAAAGGAATCTCTGAATATGGCCCCAGTCCACCACAGTTGAGGCCCCTGAGGAGCTCTGAAAAACTATGTCAGGCTGAACGTCACAGGCTACAGTGCAGAACACTGACGTGGAGGAAAATAAATTAGATGGGATAGAATGTGGTGTTGAAAATGGGGAGAAGAACGGCAGATCCAGAAAGCAAGGAAAGAAAGCATAGATGAACAATAGCACAAAAATTCCCTTATATTTAGTTCAGTTACTCATGGTACATAGGGTCCCTGTGACTTGCAGCCCTTACACGCTGTACTCACTGAAGCCAATCGTTGTCCTGGTAAATACAGTTGTATGTCAGTCTTAAATCTGCAGGTGCTATGATTGTCAGTAGCTGCTAGAAATAAATGCAAGTTTGAAATCAGAACTGAGAAAAGTAAAAATACTCTCCAAATGGTAGTGCTGATGAACCCACTAGATTAAAGCTCAACACAGTATCAAACCCTTTCACTGTCAAATTCACAGCGTTATTATCAACAGCTGTGAGCAAACAGAGCGGATGGCCCTATTAGCTTTCAGAAATTTGAGACATCATCACGTATTCAATCTCAGTGTTATTGGTTATTATACTTGGGCCCCTTCATTAGAGTCCAGACATCATCTCCATCCCAACTGTTTCTTCAGCTTCCTTCAGTTATCAAATGCCCTAAATAATAACTTATATCAGAACTGCATCTTCCTGCTACAACAGTTGCAAAACCCTTTTACTTAATCTGATGGTAGCTTTTACTGTGTCTACAGTTTAACATTAATATGAAAGCCCACAATGGAGAATAGAGAAAATTAAAAGAAAACCATAAACAGTTCAACATCAAATGAAATGAAAAAGAGGCTACTGCAAAGACTGCTATTAATTTATATAAAGCGTTAAATAACAATTTTTACAGCTTTTATGAACCTGCTGTAAAATTCCCACTCTGAGATGCTGAAGAGCCATGAAATACAGAGAATATGCCAAAGAGCAAATTAATAGCCTTCCCTCTCTAGCTTCAGATAATCTGTTTTCCACACTGTTCCTTCAGCCCAAAACCTCCGCCTTACATTCAGATTTGATAACAAACAGTAGACTAATACTCTATAAAAATCACAGTTCTGGAACTCACATAGCTGTATTTTCCCTTTCCACAGTTTTAATTTGTCCGTTACTTAACCTTTCTGTAAACTTTTAAACCGTGTGAAAAAGATGCTAGAGGTGAAAAGGTGGTGGGTAAAGGAATGAAGAAATAAATGTTTTAGATGTACAGACGAAACCAAAAGTCAATACAAAAGCAACAAACATATCCAGGATCTGGGAAAGCTACTCCATTAATACATACATTGGTAAGAAATCCTTCTTCATCCATCAGTAAAATCCCATTTCAAAGGCAAAGAAAACCTAGTTGTTTTGTTTGGGTTTTTTTTTGATAGCAACTACTATGGGTTCCTTTTCTCTAAGTTTAAAGAGGATAAAATTCTTGCTCAACAAATAGTTTTCATCTCAAAGTTGTGTGCTCATTTTACAAGACACTGTAGATTTCTTGTTCCAATAAAGATGACTTGAAAGGATTTAAAACATTTTTGCTGAGGGTGAAGTTAATCCCCAGAATTAATTGCCTAGTCTTCCCAATGTTTGCTGTAGAACTGCAGAAAAAGGGTTGAATCTTTGTGACACAGATGCTAACCAGATAAACAGGTGTTAACTTTTCATTTAAAATCTTTAAGGAGATTGTCTTCATACTCCATAGACAAAAAGGAGCGGATCTTTTGGAGAGCTGCTGGCACATTCAATGCTTTTCTGCAATTTTATCCTTACAGAAAGCATTAGAGATCAAGATACATTTCCAGTTCATCCATTTCAGAAATGCCAGAGAGGATATTCAAGGGTAAAATAATCCAGCAGTGATCTACAACTCAGAAATGTTTTATCACTTTGTACTTCCTTCTCAGAACTAGCAAGCTTACTCCTTCCTATACAAACCAGCTTCTTATTGCAGTTAGCCTTCCTTTCCTGCTCCCATATTGATGACTGAAGTTCAACAGTCCTCCAAATCAAGATGTTATCTAGCTTTCCCATTTCAAGTGTCGCTGGGCTAAAGTCAGTATGGAAGGATTTGTGGAATTGTAATGAGTTGACAACTGACAAAATGATTTCCATTGCTAGCAACATCTGCTGTGTCTAAATTTATAATTAAAAAGAAATCATGCATGCAAAAAGAAAAAAATCAATAAGCTTCCATTTTGAGTTTTTCTAATGTTGAAAGAAGTTATTTGATTAACTGTGTTTTAACCTGAACATCTGGCAGCATTGGAGACATAACACCCACAAAAAATAACTCTAAAAATTATTTCCTTTTTCCTGAAAGTATAATAGAGCTAATCTAGAAAGTACTTTAGCTACACGTACTGATATCCATAATGCAAAAATATTACGTGTATTACCACTCTGATTTTCTGTACCTCAAGCACACCAGGATATCTTGGGTAGCAGCAATTGAATTACTGGAACGGCATCCATTAAAAAAGGTGTTACTGAGTATCATCTACATTCTGAGTACCTGCTATTTTGATGTTCATGTTGTTGTCGAGCAAAAGATTTTCAGCCTTCAGGTCACGGTGAACAATCTTTCGACCATGGCAATACTCCACTGCTGAGAGGATCTGCCAGAATTTGCGCCTGGCCTCAGACTCACTTAGGCGGCCATGGCTGGCGAGGTAATCTGTTAAAATAAAGCAGGTTTAAATGGATTAGACAGCAAGCAACAACCCTGAAACTAAATGATTTCTCTAAAATAATTAGCATGAGGAAACTCAAACAGCATTTCTGCCAATCCCAGTTTCCAACCCATTATTCATTCTCGCACCTTCCCCTCCAACAGAATGGAAAAATGTAAGAAAAAGCTGCTGCGTAATGAAACTCTACTCTCTGCTCCTTCTTTTATAGTTATCTTACTATTCTGATAAATATTTTCATATAACACAACTCCTGTGGAATTGGGAATACTTGGAATAACTGGCTTCACCATCATGAGGTGCCTTTAAGCTTTAGCCTCTTACCAGTTCATGCAAGCTTCACACCACGATTCTCGCTCTGAAGCCTCACAGAGGCGGCGTGGTAGCTAAAAGTATTTTCTCCTCTGGAAATGAAACAAGTACTCATAAGGTACCTATCCTGACCTCCCTCTCGTCTTCATTGCATCACAGGCAGAAAGAACATTTTGTTTTCATATTTGATTATGTTGTAAAAACTAACGTTATCCCTGAAACAAATGATAGCTCTGAAACTGAAGACTTTATTTATCCTCAGGAACAAAAAAGTGAAGCAGCAGCTGTGTGTGTCTTGACAGAAACAGCTTCTATCGCCAATTCTATTCTTTCTCTTACGAGGCATAAAATCAAAGAATCAACTGTTAGGATGATTTTAGAATTGCCTTCAAGATCCTACAAAGAATGAAGTTAATGGCCAAGGTGCAGCAAACACATATAGATATTGCACCCAGTGACCACAGGCAAGGGCTGAGCATACACACACGTAGCAATCTCCAGTCACTTGCTACATCACAACTAGTACTTAAGTTAAACAAAAACCAGTAAGAACTAAGCTGCTGTAGCTGCCGCCGGCCCCTTCTAATTATCATTTATAGAGAAAGTCCCATGAACAGGAATCATCATTTACAGACCAGCTGACACGAACATTTCTGTCTGAATTCAGTTACCAGGTTAAAACAGCTGCTTCTGCAAGCCGTAAGGTGAATGTGATGTAATGGAGGTTTTGAGCCTACTTCTGTTTACTTATAAGAATCTCTGACAAAATCCTTAAGTAAAATGATTAATCATATCTTCTCAGCTAGCTATGTAATCTCAGTGATTCAAAAAGGATCATCTTGCCCAACGCAATGCCAAAGCAGAATACTTGGCTTTGTTAGGTTGTGGGGTTTTGTTGGTTTGTGGGTTGGTGTTTTTTTTTTAAAATATATTGTTTATAGGTTTTATAGGTGCTTGCTTTTCTGCTTTCTTTATGGTAAGCAGAGAAGGCCTGAGCAGCTCACATTAAACACACTCTAAAACTTGAAAATACATTTCCAGTAAAACTTCACTGCTGGTGCACTTCTCCTTCATTGTTACTACAGATTAGGACAAAGAAAGGAGGAGGGGGCACAAACCCACCCATAAACCATAAGCATTTTTGCAAATATTCAGAAAAACATGAAAGAAATTATTTGTTGTTGGATCATATAAAACCAACACCTTCACTGATCTTGCATTCTTATACATCATGAGTTCTCCACTGCCACTTGGGTCACTAGAGTACACTGCCATTACAAGTGCTCCGAACAGCATCATATGGATTACCGAAGTGACTTCTGAATCATGTTTTTGCTCATATGGTTTAAAGAAACAAATACAATCATTAATACACCATCTTCTTAATATGCTCAGTAAAACAGGCTTATTTCAAAGATTTTAGGAAAAAATTCTAGACCCCATTACTGAGGTAACTTAACTTTTACTTGTTGGGGGGTTGAAAAGATTTCATATACCACTGCTGTTACCTCCCAAGCACATTCTGCAAGCACAGAGGTGGCTGCTCCTGAACCATCTGAAGCAGCAGACTAGTTACCTCAGTTGCAGTATACTCATTTCAGCTTCCTTAAAAAAAACATTTTAAAGCAAAGCACATTAGGTCTGATCTCTGGAACCTGCAGACCTGAAAACTCTCCTCAGAGCTTCTAACCTACCTAAGTCTTAATGCACTTTCAGCTCGTTTAACTTGGCAAAGCACAAGAACAAACAAAAGCCTGGCAGTAAGGGGAGACTGTAATATTTGCAAGCTAAATATCATTCAGTCACAAAGTGACTGACAAATCATATGATATCAAGGTGAAGTCAGATATCAAAGGCACAAACTAAATTACATTGAGTGCAAGCCAACCCTTTAAGCTGTTAATCCATCATTTGATAGCAATGCAGCGAACAAGTTAATGAATCCAAGCTGTCATTTGCTTCTGCGGCTCTAGCCTGTCAGGACTTTTAAAGATTCCAAAACACCTTGACCTTAAGTATTCTACCAAGTCTAGTAGTCTGCACGGAATAGGTCATTTATTCTGAAATACACCGCTTTCTCTCCTGGAGAAGCAGAGCATACCACACTCTATCTAAACAGGTGATGGTATGTGCAAGGATACTGTTTGCGCATTAACTAGCTTGCAAATTGGAAAGGCTGGGATACAGGCAGTGTGCCAGCACCCGGGTTACAGAAACCACTTTAAGACAGCTGAAACTTTCTAGAGACATTCTACCACAATAGCTAGAATCTGGACACTGTTTGAATATGCACCTATATACCTCTGGAGCTAAGAACCACGACTCTTTAGTTTTTACTGCAGATACCTACAGCAAAGCATCCTGTTGTACCTTGCAAAGACTGATATAGCAAAGCTACCTGTGCTTTCACAAACATATCCTTTGACAAATCTTACCCTCACGTTATACCCTCTGGCTACATGTTTCTATGTTAGGTTTTTTCTCATTTTTCTATAATAAAACAGAAAGCAGAAGCTATCACAGACTCAGCTGGATCCACAGCAGAAAGCAAGGTTACAAGGCAGCTTCTTGTTCAGCATTTTTAGTAATCCAAAGTATCTTTGTTTACTGGACATCTGAAAGATGGTATTTACTTCAAAACATATGACTCTGAGACATTGTCTAGCAAACCCAGTGGTCAGTGCTTTTCATTTACAATACAATTCTTGATTGAGGTGGGCAGCTGTACACGTTTTTTATTTGGTATGTTAAGGCTCTGTTAAAGAGGCGCACACATATCAAAATGAGTACAGAGAAGGATAACGAAGATGGTTAAGGGACTGGAGTGCTTGTCATACAACAGGAGGCCAAGAGATCTGTGGGTATGTTCTGCCTATGGAAGACAAGGTGCAAAGGGAAATCTTATCGTGTGTATAAATACTTGGCAGGAAGAAGATGACAAAGCCAGACTCTTCTCAGCAAAAGTACCCAGTAAAGGGACAAAAGGAACTAACTGAAACACAGGAAATTCAATTTAAACCTAAGAAAAAGTTGTTTGGGTTTTCTTTTGTGCAGGTGGTCAAATGCTGGAACAGGGTGGGTAGAGATTGTAGTCTCCATCCATGGCCTGACCAACCTGCTCTGGTCAACCCTGCTCTGAACTGCAGGGCTGCACTAGGCATTGCCTACAAATGCTTTCCAACCTCAGCTCTTCTGTGATGTGGGTTCAGCATAAGGCGGTCAAGACATCACTCATCCTGTTCAAGCTTAGTAAGGAACAAATAATGCCATATTAGGGGAGACATCGTATTTCTAGTCTTACGAATGTCTATTAACAGAAGCAATCAGAATTTTAGCTAAGGAAATCAACATTAAACATTAAAAACAATCTTTATAATAAAAAACCCCTCAGATCCTGAATAGCTTTGTCTAGGAAGGTTACTGAATCTCTCTTGGGACATTTTCAAGAAAGGTGCAGCTGATCCTGTGCCAAGGCTGAGACACAGCAGATAGATGCTCAAGTCCATTCTAGTCCAGCTTTATGCATCTCTGCTCAAAACTTGTATGTAATTTTCCAGGACTAACTGCTAGGCAAAATGAGGCTTTTACAGGTACAGATGTAATTAAATACTGATACTCTAAGAGACCAAAGAGATGTCTGAATGTCTCCTTCACATGGAAGCAGTTCTGGAGATACCTCGAGCTTATTCTTTACTCAAACAGGTGCAAGATGCTGAGAAACTGACATTGAAAGCAGAGGTTTATGCTCTCAAATGTCTCCTTAAAGCTTAGGATTTATGCTGAAATACTCTAAAAAAAAACTTGTAAGACTGTCTTCTGTATCAACTGAGCTGGGATACTGCAATATTGCAAAGGACTAGTTACGAACGGAATCTCATTCTCAGCAAAATTTGGTTTGAGGAGAGAAGACGACTACTTCGACTTCCCTAATGAGTAGAACAAAATCCAGAAGAGAATTGAGGTCACTTTGCTTAACCTGTATATCAGTTACCGCATGTTTCCAAGAGAAACACTCAGAAAAGTTTCAGTAAAACTGTAATAGCACTGTTACTTTTTCATTTGCACAACCACAGCACACTTCATATGACCAGTTACTGTACATATTTACTGTAGGAGTGTTTTCACATGTAGCTGCTCTTTCATGTAAGAAATGTTTTTCCAAATATTTACCAGCCTCTCTGCAAGTTCAGTGCTTTGCTATTCCACAATCAGATTTACTTTGAGATCTACTTCTCAGGGATGTTTGACTTTGCGTGTGTAGATGAGACCCACCATACTGTCTGGGTTGATCTATTTTCCCATACAACCTTTGGGCACACAGGAGCCTCTTGCAAAAACAGGCTTAAATCCCAAGTAAGCCTTTGGGACAAGAGAGACAGAGCATAAACAGGACTAACTAAAGGAGCTTATTTTTATTTCTGTGCATGACAATCATTCCACAAAAGTAAGGTTTTTTTATTGGGGTTGTGGATGCCCTGACTAACATTTGGCAAGACTAAGAAATAAACATTTTGTTTCCTTTATGAACGCTTTTGAAAATCTCAGCATACTCTTATGGTTCTTCATAGTAAAACAGAGAGATGCCTGTGTGAGAGGAGTATTAGCATGATAATATAGCCTGACAGTATCCCATTATTTTGTGTAGGTTCTTTAAAAGGCAGCAAGGTCCTCACAA